GGGACCTCCTGGACTACGACAGGGGGGACTGGGTGGATCCCCGAGCGCTCGCTCGGCGCATGGGGCTCTCCACCCCTCGAACTCCCCTGCGCCTACTCCAGGAGGTGAAGGCGGCTTTGTCACAGCCCATTCTCAACTTCCTGCAGCAGTCCCTGCGAGAGGGTACGCCCCGCCCCCCCACTGCCTGCAAATTCTCCGTCCCTTGTTATCAGTTCCCTGTTCCACTGCACCCCCCGCTCTGGCCTCCCCACCCCTGGACCCCCAGCTGGCTGTAGCACCTGCAGCCGGTCTGCTTTCGAACCGCACCTAGGGAACACCTGTACATGCTCATGCTCCATATGATACATTTCCTCACCCTTGTGTCCCGCCCCAACACCAAGAGGTGGGACTACCTGAGATCTGTAGAGGGTGGGGAACCCCGATGGGCCAGTGTGTATGCCACCTTAATTCTGCGGCCCATCAGAGACATTAGTTGTTGGCTCCTTCATTAGTTGGCGGTTCACCCCATCCCAGACACCTGTCCTTTCTGAGGCATGGGGGAAAACCTGGCACACGCCTACCTTAAACGCGCCAGGTTGCAGTCCCTATTCTGGCTCCTCCAGAACCTCTTATTGAGGTTCTGGCTGCACTTTTCCCCTCACCTTTTTATTTATGCACACCCAATCCGTGGCCCCACAAAGTCACAAGACCTCCTTGTCAACCTCCTGCTGGCTCTGGCAAAAGCTGCTATATACAGCACCAGGAGGAGGATGCTGGACGAGGGGGTTCTCTGCGACCATGGAGCCTTTTTATGTTCCTTCCTGGTCTCATGTATCCAGGCAGAGTTCCTCTGGGCGGCGTCCACTGGCTCCCTCGACAGCTTTGAGGGGCAGTGGGCGCTGTCCGGGGTTCTCTGCTCGGTGTCCCTGTCTGGTTCATCCTCCTCCTGGCCCTGGCGAAAGCTGCCATATACAGCAACAGGAGGAGGATGCTGGACAAGGGGGTGCTCTGCGACTGTGGGGCCTATTTCCGGTTCCCTTGTTTTAACCCTTTGACCCGCACCACTTGATCTAGTTTTTTATCATTTGTCCCAAGGAATTAGTTGAACCCCAGGTCCAGTCATCCCTCCCGCAAGGCTGAGGGAGGGGCTTTTAGATGTGGGCGGGATTTCAAATAGGCCCCACTACACTTGTATTTGTCTAAGCATGTATTAATTGTGTTTCTGAAGGGAGTTATTGGAAGACTATGTCTTTTTATTCCAAGTACTGACTGATTATATGCAGGTATAATGCAAGAAGTATCTATGAATTGTGTAGAATAATAGCTTCAGTAATCATTCAGTGCACATGTAACATACTGATAAGTTGAACTGGTATTTGAAAGCTGGGTTGCTTATTTTAAAAAAAGATTTTTAAATGTGGCATTTTTCTGCCTAATAAAATAACCTAATTATATTTCAGGTTACAAAAGATGTGGTCATGTTTCAGAATGTTCTATATGGAGAATCCCCCTGTCCCCCAAACTCATCTATTGAGTGTCTGGTAATAAAAACCAAGGAAGTGCTTATCAGCTTCAAATCTATCTGGAGACTTGTTCATGATTAAAAGTTCATAGAATCCTAGGGCTGGAAGAGACCTCAGGAGGCCATCAAGTCCAACCCCCTGTCCAGTGTTGCTAGCTTTTTCCTGTTTTGTCAATCACATTCAGCTTAGAAGTTTAAGCTTAGGGGGGGTGGGGAGAAATAACAGCTTTCCTCCCACTATTATTAGCAGTGTTAAGATGGCCTATACCGCAGTATAAAATTCTTATCTCAAACTATTTTAGTGCAACATCAGCCAACAGGCAGGATTGAGATGACCTGGGATAACCTTGCTGCAATGTTCTTTAATCCTTGTTTATGCTGTGGATTTTAACTATTTAATTAATGCTATTTTTGAAGGTTGTATTTTACTGCTTTATATTCCTTGTTTTAAGACCTTCATTCTTTAGTGAAACCAAAGACTGCTTAGAAATAACATTGTATTCTTTTCTGAGTAACTTGTTTTATTGTATTAAGTAACTTAATTGTTGGGGAGGAGATTCATTAAGCAGCTGTACAACTTAGGGCACATCTAAACTACATTCCTCTTTCGAAAGAGGAATGTAGTTTAGACATGCCCTTAGTTCATAATGAAATCTGCTCTGGTGGTGTTAAACACTGTCATTTTGAAATGGAGCACGTCAATTTTTCACTATTGGGTTTTATAGATATTAGGTGACTAAACTAATAAGTTGCTTTCTTTGATCAGTGTAGATTTGTCTTTGTCAAATATTTCTGAATATCTTCCTAAAACCCTCATCTCAGTAGAAAGAAATCTGTTTAATTTGCCTACTGTTGATTAGTAACTGTCCAGAGAGCGACCAAGGGGAAATAAATCTTGCTTTTGAGTTGGCAGATTATAAGATCTTACTATCTGAGTAGGTGAGCAGAAACTGTGACTATTTTTAAAGGACTAGGGAGGAAGGGAACACTTCAGCAAATTCCTAGCACTGATCAGTCACATCTGCAATACTTCAGGAGATATTTATCCATTTTAATTTGTTGAGGAAAAATAATTTTAGTGCCTTGCATTTACAATACCACAGATGAGGGGACGTATGTATCTAGTTCTATTTGCTCTCTGTGGGTGTGACAGAGTAATTTGTGTGACATCTGTTCAGACAGATCCACCTATGTCTTTCAACGTATTGTTTCTTTTCATATTTCTATGAATTTAGAGAGCTCATTGGGTGGAAGCCTATAGTGACTGTAAATTGATGCATAGTCATAGGATACTGTTGCTATCTCCAATTCTGGAAAGCTATTGTACATTCAACTGCCAGCATTTGGTGAAATACACAATTTGGGAATAAACAGTATACTGTGTTGTGGGCAGGGGTGAGGGAGTGAGTTGGGGATGACCACAAACTAAGGATTGTGAGCAAATAGAGGAATGTTGCTGTGTTAATGTGTACTCAGAGGAAATGAGGTTTAAGGGGTATCTTTAGATAAGTGACAATGAGAATTTTATAAATCCAATTAACTTTGTGTTGTGTGCGCCATTAGGAGGAGACATTGACAACTGAAGGAGACACTGGAGAAGAAGGTAGATAGGAGAGGGAGGCCAAAGAAGCTTGTTAAAGCTATTCTCTTGCAGAGAAAGTAGAAAAAATGCTGTTTCATTTACCAAAAAAAACCTAGGAGAATAGCAGAAAGGAGACTCGGATGACAGATGAGGTAGGCTTATATCCAGATTTATTGCTGATAAATTTAACTAGTATACTGCAAATTTAAGTCATTTGTAAGCCCTGCATGTTGTTATATTTGTGAGTATTTGCTTAGTTGCTGCTTGTGATTAAGCTTAGAGAACCAAAATAGTTGTGGCTTATGGTGGGGAGTCAGGAGAGCTGGTTAAGCTCTTCAGTCACAATACAAGATTTCCTAAAGGATACAATCTCAGGTCCTGAATTTAACAGGAAATGAAGGAAAAGGATTGAAGAGCCTCATCCTACAGCCCCTCTTCCACTGATTTTCCCCCCCAAAAAACATGGAAAAACACACACACACTTTGTAAAATGGCACTTAAAACTATTTGAAGGTAGATTTTACTCTCTCTCAAATGTCAGGCAGCGACTACAGGTTGAACCCCTCTAGTCCGGCACCCTTGGAACCTGACTGCTACCAAACCAGAGAATTGCCAGACCGCGGGAGGTCAATATTGTCTAGCAGCATTACCAACACTTCCACTGCTTACTGGGCTCTTAGAAGACATTTAGGGGCAAATTCGAGCTAAATAACAGCACAGAACTCTGAGCGCCAGGATTGGTGTCTGTAAACAAACTTTATGGGACCACGAGAAACTTGGCCACATGATAAGTGAACATCTGGCTAACTAAAATGCTGGACCACAGATGGTGCCAGACTAGAGAGGTTCAGCCTGTACAGAGCAGTGCAAGCTGGGAGTGGTGGCATGGGATGCATAAGCTTCTGAAGGGGGAGGCAAATATTGTCACTAGAGGTTAGAGAGTACAGTTTGTGATTCTGAATATTCACAGAGGTAACAACAGGACATCTGGGTGAGGGACATCTGACTAACATGTGAGAAGGCGCATATTGATGAAAGTCAGGGTGTGGGGTACGCCTCTTCAGAATTAAAAAATATTTAGTGTGTGTTAGCTGTGAGAGAGTAAATTTATAGAAACAAAAGCAGTATACACAAGCACTGGAGGTAAGATTGGGATGGTAAAATCACAAACACCTTGGGCTTGTCTACATTGGCCCCTTTTCCGGAAGGGGCATGTTAATTTCAGAGATCGTAATAGGGAAATCCGCGGGGGATTTAAATATCCCCCGCGGCATTTAAATAAAAATGTCCGCCGCTTTTTTCCGGCTTTTAGAAAAGCCGGAAAAGAACGTCTACACTGGCCCCAATCCTCTGGAAAAAGCACCCTTTTCCGGAGGATCTTATTCCTACTTTGAAGTAGGAATAAGATCC